TTACAGATTTCCGAAGAAAGAGACCATGACATTCTGTCGCGTATGCCAGCATGGTATCGACCAGTGATGCATCGGTTTTGTACGACAGTCGGTTCCCCCAAGATTCAAAGCTGGTTCCTGCCAGAGCCTGGGCACCAAGGGATCTTCAAATACACCAAAAAGATCACGCACTGTTTCACCCGTCCCTGCAGCAAAGATATCCGACCTGGTGAAGGAGACTTGCTGCTATTGCCGGATGCCTATTGGGTATATCCCCAAATTTGGCGAGCAGTCGATGAGAGCCGCGAAAGAGGTGCCAAAACGGCAAGCGTACTCTACGACTTGATACCTTTAACTCATTCCGAGTTTTTCGAGGATGCAGGTGTAGATGCGTTTCGTCGCTACTTGGGTGAAATGCTGGAGCGTTCCGACCTCCTTTTGACCATTTCGGAAACGGTCGCCAACCAAGCTCGAGAGCTATTGCCGGGATATCTTGATCGCGCATCGGTCGATACTCCGATTGTGCCATTTCGACTAGGAGCCGAGTTTTCTTCCGGCAACGGCGATTGCCGCCCGGAATTGGAAATCTTGCTTAACCCTAGCGATGGCGTGGCTCCGTTTCTGATGGTGGGCACGATCGAGATCCGCAAGAACCACATTCAAACGCTGCGTGCGATGGAAATGGTCTGGAAACACCGCCCTAATGCAAAGCTCCTCATCGCAGGAGCGCTAGGGTGTCGGGCCGAGGAATTCATGGAACTCGCTAAGAATCACCCTCAACTTGGCAAACGGCTCTTTATTTATCACGATCTGACCGATGCAGAGATTGATACTTGCTACCGCAAGAGTCAGGCCGTGGTTTTCCCCTCGAGGACTGAAGGGTTCGGTCTGCCTATTGTCGAGGCACTGTATCGCGGGTGTCCGGTCCTGGCCGGCGATATTCCGATTAATCACGAAGTAGGTGGGGAGCATTGCGGCTTTTTCCCTCTCGATAATGCTCGGCAACTTTCTCACATGTTAATCGACACACTCGATCAACCGGTATCCAAACGACGGAACAAGCGAACCAAGTTGAAGCAAGTTCTGAGTTGGAAAGAAGCGGCCAAGTCACTGCATATAAAGATAGAGAATTCGTTCTCTCGAAGCTTGGTAGCCTCTACCGAAACACGTATTCACCGTCCCTTTGCACAGAAGAAGAGTGATCCGGTAAAAGCTTTGCCGCCACATGCTATATTGAAATAACGCAACATTGATACTACAAGCCGATAGCATTGAGTGGTGAGCAATAATATAAAATCCGGTGATCGCAAGCGGATGACTAAAAAATTTCTAAGCCTAGCGAACGCTAACAGCCTATAGAGGCGTTAACGTGCGGGTTGAAAAATTTTGCACCTTGAAACTTGGTATTGCCTAAGCTGTAGGACTCGACATGTCGCGAACTGCGTTGATCACGGGAATTACTGGCCAGGATGGTTCCTACTTGGCTGACTTCCTGTTGGAGAAAGGATATGAGGTTCACGGTTGCCATCGAAACAGCAGCAGTACTTCGTTTCAGCGAGTTCAGCATCTGCAAGATCGCGTTACGTTCCATTGCATCGACCTCTTAGACCAAAAGTCGATCGAAAGCCTGATCGAGAAAGTGCAGCCAACTGAATTTTATAATCTTGCGGCACAGAGTTCTGTGGGAAGCAGTTGGGAACAGCCTGTCCTGTCAAGCGACGTAACCGGCCTTGGGGTTACCCGTGCTTTAGAGGCGATTCGCGTTGTCGATCCGACGATTCGATTCTTTCAGGCGAGTAGCAGCGAGATGTTCGGAAAGGTGAGTCAGTCGCCTCAAAGCGAGACGACTCCTTTTCGTCCTCGAAGTCCCTATGGAGCGGCGAAAGTCTATGCGCATTGGCTGACTGTGAATTACCGAGAAAACTACAACATGTTTTCATGTAGTGGCATTTTGTTCAATCATGAATCGCCGCGGAGAGGCTTGCAGTTTGTGACACGAAAGATCACCAATGGTGCTGTCCGAATCAAATTAGGCATGGCAAATGAATTGCGTCTGGGGAATCTCGACGCCAGACGAGACTGGGGATTCGCCGGCGACTTCGTTGAAGCGATGTGGGGGATGCTGCAGTATCGTTCACCAAGCGACTATGTCCTGGGGACGGGCAAGCTTCATACGGTTCGAGACTTCGTTCGCATTGCTTTTGAACAGGTCGGACTGAACTGGGAAGATCACGTTTCCGTCGATCCACGTTTCTATCGTCCTGAAGAATCCAATCCGCTGATTGCCGATGCGGCTAAAGCCCGCGAAGAACTTGATTGGAGTCCTCGGAAGTCGTTCCAGGATATTGTAAAGGATATGGTAGACTCTGACTTGCGGCAGTTATCGGCGGAGCAGCAAGCGACTTCTGATACGTTGCGGGAATCGGCCTAGCCCTTTCTGATGCTCTGTCACTTTCCATTCGCATCGATGTTTGCCGGTCAATGAGCGAAACACTCTTGTGAGCTTTGACGTGTTTTCAGACAGTTCCCCGGACTCCGTTGACGTCTGAAAGTTGTGGCATTGTGAGTACTTGTTGCCCGGACGGGGTTTGAAATATCGGAATTTAGATTGCACTCGCAAATGCGCAGCTTTAACAAGGCGCTCCTACTTGCTTGGAGACACCACAAGTGGTCGATCGTCTCCTCCCTTATTTGTCCAGTGATGGCAGGCGCGTTATAGGGGAGCCAACATCGGAGCTGTCTAGCCTTTTGCTGAAGTCATTTTCCGCGGGCAAAGCTTTGCACGAATGGGTCGTTCGTGAAACGGAAACGACCGAAGCCGCCAGCAAGAGTTCGAAAATTTGCAATCTGCAAGTAACGTAGAAGAG